ACATTTGATTAGTTTTAAATTCTGGAGTAAAATTACAAAATAAATGATTATAACTTATTAGTGTTACAATTTAAAACGTTATATTTATTTATTTTTACATAGGAAACGGGTGATATTATAAAGTATGTTAGTTTAATGATTTGTTTAAAATACGTTTACAATTTACTTTCCAAGTGTTAAAAGAAAATTAGTAGGTATGCACATAGCTATTATGCCTTTTGAAAGATTACATGCACATGTCAACGTCACAAATTGAAATTATGTTAAAATTAATGATACCGAGCGTTTGGATAAGCAATTTATTTTGACAATATCAGCTTTACTCCGATTACCGTTAGGTGCAAAATTACATAGATGGTATTTTTAAAGAATGTGGTAAAAATTCGCTTTTTAAATGACATAATAATATATATTGTATATAATATAATAATAATAATAATAATATTTGTGTTTAGTGTTAACACGAAATTGCTTCGGGCAAATCGTGAATTACGACACACTCGTTTTTATTACCATGTGGACAAAATTAACAAGAATGTAGTATCTGTTATAGCATTATAATAGCAACGTTTTATTAATAAGGGTAACAAGGTGTACCTACATACAACGTTAAACATCGTGTTGAAAGCTTAATATCGTTTAACTAATCAATCATTTGACCTCTCGACGAAGTCGATATAATGTTATAGCCACTGTATATAGCATCGGTTTTTAAGTGCCAACAACCCGTCATTATAATACGCGTTTCTTACATAGGTCTGAATTTCTAATATACATATTTTTTTTTTATTTTTTGCCTTTTTTGCTTGGGCCACTTAGGCCACTAAATTACACGTTTCGGAGTCATGCGAACACCGCCGACATGTTATTGCGGGGTTGCGCAGCCGACGGCTTTAAAACGACTATAAAGGTGAAAACCAAAATATTTTTCTTTTTGTTTTTTAACTCTTTTTGCGGACGTGCCGGTCGATTGTTCAGACGAATCGATAACGTCGTATAATAATTAAAATCGCAATATAATATACGACGCAGTGAGCTTATAATATATATTTGAATATAATAATACTCTGCAAGCGGTATAGGTCTGTTTAATTTTTATTCGGCCACCCCGAAGTCGTAAATTATTAGGTTTATGCATATTACTGCTTATACATTCAGACATAAGTGTCGCGAATAACAAAAATAATTTATTACAACGGTGTCAATAATATAATAGCATATTGATAGTCTCTACATCGGACAGCGACCAGCAGGTAGCTCTATAATAACGTTCTTTCTTGTACCTAATTAAGACGTCCGACTATAATACGAGCAGCGCTCTGCCGACCAGGGCACCAATATAATATACATAATATGTTATTTATGTACAGTTATAAATCAACGCGGGACCGTGTCCTGTGCTGATAAGACCCAGTGAAAGTGTGAAAGGGACGACTTAATATAGTGTAAGTGTGTAGGTATATACACCACATAGTATATATTATATATTATATTTATATAGTCGTGTGTATATATTATAACCTACGTGTGCGTGACTTTTCGTTATCAATCGTCGCGTTACGCAACGGTTATTGATGTGATATTCGACCACCACCGCCGCCGCCAAGTGGCCGTTATTATTATTATTGTTGCTTCTCYCGACCGAGTGGAATTAAAACATCGCTAATATCATAGTGACGGCACGTGGCGGTAACGATATATATATAATATACTATTGTTAGATATATACCTACCTATATACGCAATCACGCCGTTCATGATGTACTTCGTCGTTTGTCTTGGTCGTCCGGTCTATTGTTATATTACAGGGTGGTTCGTGTAAATTGTAAAATWATGTCCGTGTACAATAATGCGTATTTTCAAAAAGAGTCTTGTGATTTTGACGGGAAAGAGATTTTAATAGGATTTTAAGTATTTTTTCAAAATTTTCTTCTCCATATAGTGATAATTTTCAATGTATAATCTCTATAATGTCCACTTCAAGATAGTTTATCGAAAAAATAATTTGTTTAGTGAACTTTGTCAATATAGCGCGAGAAAGTCAATTCTCGAGTAGAGGTACATTATTTATTATACGATTAATTCAAATCTTTTCCTCAATTCAGAAGTACAGTACCCTATTATAAAAACGTTGATGCATAAACATCGGACTTTTCGGATTAGTATTAAACAAATATTTATGACGCGGAGTGTACGAGTGGAATCATGGTGCATTTTTTGATATCCACACCCCGTTTCATTTTTTTTTTTAAATTTCACTTTATAAATGCACTTTTTGTTCCTTCTTGCAAATTGATTTAGAAAATTAACGCGTAGTCGTTTAAATGGATCACCCCATACATTGTATTACGATTTATTATATGCGCGTATCTATTGTGTGTAGGTATATAATATGTGGAATAGCGAAACGCGGGTGACCAGCCACCGCACGTGAACAGACAACGGCCGAATGGCGTGACTGGCCGAATTAAAATATCACGCCAGAGCGGGGCCTGCCCCTCCCACAGCCCCCTCACCACGAACACGAGCGTATTTATTGTCGTATATACCTTTATTATAATATGTATATATATATATATATATGTGTGTAAGTACATAAGTACAAGTATAAGTATGTATATACATGTACAAGTGCGGACCATGGGTGTGCATAGTGAATTTATTACGGGAAACCGTAACACGCGAATCGCGCCTAGACACACAATGCGCAGGGAGTCCGTGGAAAATCCTTAAAAGAAAAAGGAAAAAATCCCAGCGGAGGTTAGCACTGCGCCACAATCCGACGACCGTCSGTGTTGTCGTTATTTCTAAAAAAAAAAATTACAAAAAAATTGTTTCGTTATAATAAGATTGATTTTACATTGATGTGTGTGTGTGTGTTTTTTTTGTGTCTGTCATCACGTTTTGATTGCAGTAAAAGTGCTTCAATTTTCGACTTGAGTCAGAAAGTGAATATAGTTGATACTTTGGGCGGTCAAAAGTAAAAAATTCCCAATATTTTTAATAATTAGGATAAACCAATTAAACATTTAGGAAAAAACGGGAATTTTTACACACAATCAATTTTCGACAAAATCAATTTTGGTTTTTTATGTTACTTTAAAACAAATGACTATAAATGCATGATATTTTCACCCAATGTTTATATAAGTATATTCTATCCACCATGCAATTTTCAAAAAAATTCGAACTAAATATAAATATTAAACTATTTATAGGCATATGCAATTTTCGATCATTATTAGTTTTTTTWAAAATTAATATCGATAAAAATTTATTTGTTGGGTAGAAAAGCTTGAAAATTTAATACAAGGCGCCTAACATATTTTTACAATAGCAGTTGAAAAATAAAAGAAATATAGTCACAAAATCTTTTTACAAGCATTCAAAGTTTGAATTTTGACAACATACGTAAAAATCACGAAAATTTGCAAATTATTTTAAGCTAGAAATTCATTAAAAATTTTCTTTTTAAATCTAAGATTTGAAAATTATTAATAATCTATAATATATCCTAGACAGATGAACCGTCTCCGCTCAGAATCGTTTTTCTTATATAATGATATAATATTATTGGATTCAAATATAATTCCATCCATTACAATAACCCACTTGTAACCTACTGTACAGCAGAACGATATTATACACTTTCCAGCTGTTTGTTTATATTATTCTTTTCCGTAACACATTATTATATTATTAATAATTATAATAATAGCCTTGCTCTTAATTACAATTTCACTTAATCACATTACGCGCGCGCCGTTGTGGAGGCGGCGTTTCCAAAACCATTGCATATGCAACTGGGTCACTGAACAATGCGGGCCCCGATGCACGGCATTCGTGGATGTGGGCACCTAGTTTGAATAATTTTATCGGGCAACCCTTCCGATTCACAACGGCAACGACGACGACGACGGTGTTATAATAGACACAACAATTCAGTTACAGCGCGAAGGTAATTTTCGTGATATTATAGGATATGCTCATACTTTACTGCAGGGTGAAACGGCATGTATATAATATATATATTGTATATATGGTTGAGTGTAGGTGGCCTAGGAAGATTAAATTCGGCAGTAAGATGTTAATTATCATTCATCAAAAATGTATATGCTACAGGTATGCATTAAGATGGTTCTCATTATTTTATTTTGAAAATTGTTCAATTATATATATAGGCGCACTAAACTTTAAATCGATTCGAATATTCATAAAAATTATCTGTACAAAATCCTTAGTCCCTTAGTCAACAAAACTCCGTCAACATTTTTAAATTTTTCAAAAAAATAGATTTAGATAAAAAACTGTAAATATTATAATGTTTTACATTGTATTCCCATAATAATAAGATAATATCAACTTTCATATTGTAAAACTTTAAAATTTTGTTATTATTAGGCTAATAATCTTTGTAATTAAAGCCTTTATGTTAATAAAAAAAAAAAAAATCTTAGAAAAATCTAAGATATTTATGAGATCAAAACAGATTCAGAAATCGAAGTGCCGTTTGAAAGTGAGAACATAGTACACTTCGGGACRGAGAMATTCAGTGTTGATGAACCGCAAAAAAGTTTTGAGATTCTGAAATTTATAAAGGCATTATAGCGCCATAGTAGGCTCACAAATTGCGTTYGCGAGTGTGTGTAATGTCATTTAATGGTTTACCATATGTACATATTTATACGGTTAACCACAATTTTTCGTGTATCTATAAGAATATAAAATTATTATGTTGAGTTTTGCAGACACTTAAGAGCAAAGGTGATGTGAGAGGGGCATATATTTTTTCTCAATATATATATATATATATGCGCAGCTTATGTTTTCAAGTTTTTAACTGAAGTTCATATTATAGACTAATTGAAGATCGGGAGCATTRTATAGGAATAATTAGGTATYTWAGATCTGACTCGCGCTCACATTTCAGTAAACATTTATCTCCAATACMTAAAATTATACATGATAACAACTAATAACAATGGTGATCGTATTTTCAGAAATATTATTCAGTGATACGCCTAAATTCAGCGATCGCATGGACAACTTAACAGTAACCGTCGGCCGAGATGCGATCCTCGAATGCGTCGTAGAATCACTGTCGACATACAAGGCAAGTTCATAAGATTTAAGATATCATTATAAATACTATTGAATAATATTGAACRTTGTTCAAAATGGTATGAAAATATAWACATTTAAAAACAAAGTTTTACCATAGTGTGTTAAATTAATTAAATTAATTTTGACAGAGTGTACCTACCTCATTTTTTAAATTAATTTAATTTTAATCTTAAAATAAATCACAATCTACTATCAATACATTWTAATAAAATTTTAGACATTAGGTACACTATGAGCCTCTCCGGTTCATCGGTATCAATATAATATGTTAWGAGTGTATGACCTATRTAATTGATCTGTTTGAGTTCATTCGAAATATTTAATAAAAATATTCAATAGATTATTTATCAAAAATAAAAAACAAAATTGTTTCATGTTTATTGTTATATATATCATATGTTTGAATCTGCGCGGGAATCATATTGTATCAGTGAATGAGAGTATCCGATTACCACATTACCGCCTATTCGTAAGCGAAATCTAAAATTAATTTATACTAAGTTCCTCAATTAATTAAATTTGTTAATTTAGATTATATCCCATTAACACAATGTATTACATTTTTTATTTCAATCACATTTTACGTTTTTAATTAATCTCATTGATTTAATCAATTAAACAGTTTCACTAAAGTCACTACTTTAGTCGACTGAATTCACATTCATAGTGAAATAATTGTTCGAAATGTCTATCAATACACTTTTGTTTTTAAGTACACATTTTTTAGATATTCGTGCATCATATTTAAAATTAATATTTATGCAATACCTATTTTTTATCAATACAWWWTGTAAATATATAATATAGTTTAATAGTTACATAGCCAATTTTTCGATATTTTTTCATGTATAAAGTAGCTAGTATTTATTTTGTAGTACTGTRGAATTTACACTTTTAACTTACATTTTACATCTGCAGTTCGAAAGTTTATATAT